GGCACTTAAAGTTCAAACTAATTTTGATGCTGCTGCTTTTATGAGTAGAATGATGGCTTGATCGATGAACACTGGTGGTAATCAAGGTGGAAAACCTATGCATAATAATCAAGGTCTAAGGAAGGAAAAACCTAAATGTAGCTACTGTAGTATGCTTGGCCATTGCAAGCAAAGTGCTACAAGCTCCATGGATATCCTCCAGGACACAGGTTGGCAAAAGACAAAGGATCTATCCCAAGTGCAAGTCAAGTGATTAGAACCACGTCTTCGAATTTATCTAATCCGTACTCCAATCTGACTATAACACCAGAGCAGTGCTAACATGTTCTCAATATGCTGAAACCACAGCTCCAAGGTCAATTCTCAAATCTGATTATACATCCTAGTGCTGCTACAAGTCAAAATCAGAACAATCTGATGATCAACCAACTTGATGACATGAAAATGTCCTCACCTCAAGTGCCAACTATACCTGACTTCACAGCGTTTTCAGGTAATAGTTTCTGTCTAGCTGTCTCAGAGGTAAAGGAAAAATAGATTATTGACACGAGAGTGACAGACCATAGGTGTGCTTCATTGATCACTTAACTGACATTACTGCTGTGGTGAATGCAAATGTCAAACTTCCTAATGGGGAAACAACCAATGTGACTCACATGAGCACTGTGAAGCTGTCTGAAACTCTATCATTGACTAATGTTTTGTGTGTTCCATCATTCAAATGTAATCATATTTCAGCCAGCAAACTTATTTTTCTCATCATTGTTGTTTAGTATTTCTGTTCAATCATTGCTTTATTCAAGACCTTTCTATAGGGACAATGATTGGAGTGAGGAAACTTGAGGCTGATATGTATCACTTTAGTTCAAAACTCATTCAAGCAATGGACCATTCTCTACTACTCGATCCATTTCTCATCAGCTCCATACAAATCCTCATATACCTGTCAATGTTTAATGTAATAAAGTCATGAATAATGATGACGTTCCTAGCTTTACTGTTGGTACTAGCATACCTTTTGACCAGTGGCACTATAGGTTAGGACATGTGCCTTACTCTAAAGTCTCAATTTTACATAAATCTGCACCTGAGATAATATCAAATTCTCATTTCCATTGTAATATTTGTCCTATGGAAAAACAACATCGATTGCCTTTTCTGACGGTATGCATATTTCTAAGTCAATTTTTGAACTCATTCATTGTGATATCCGGGGTTCCCATTAAGCCCAATCTCTTGACGGTTCACAATATTTCCTAACCTTAGTGGATGACTATAGCAGGTGTACTTGGACATTTCTGATGAGAAATAAATCACAAGCCAAATAGCTTATACAGACCTTCTTTCGTATGATTGAAACTCAATTCAACACCAAAATTAAAACTGTAAGGTCTGATAATGGTACTGAATTTGCCTTAAGTGATTTCTATAATTCCAAAGGGGTAGAGCATCAAAAGAGCTGCATTGAGAGACCACAACAGAATGGTATTGTGGAATGCAAACATCAACACCTATTGAATGTTGCTAGAGCATTGAAATTTCAAGTTAAACTCCCAAACCAATTTTGGGGTGAATGTGTCCCGACTGCCACTTATCTTATCAATCGTGTATCCAGCACATCCTTGTCAAATAGATCACCATATGAGATCTTATTTTCAGTAAAACCTGTTTATTCCCACTTGAGAGTTTTTGGCTCTCTATGTTATGCTTATACCTTACAAAGACACGGATTAAAATTTGATCCTAGAGTAGTTCCCTATATCTTCATTGGCTATCCACCCAATCAGAAAGGATACAAGTTGTATAACTTGAACACAAACACTAAATTTGTGTCTAGGGACGTGATTTTCCATGAAAATATATTTTCTTTTCACTGTCCTACTTTACTGAACTCCTTTAATCAGTTTGACAGTCTCCACTCAACCCTCACATGCTCCTCTCTTTCCTTCTCTTGGCTTTCCCATACTGGAACCAATGCCATCCTCTTCTTCTTCTTCTTCTTCACCATCCACTTCATCTCCACATTCCCTTTCAACATCCTTACTTCCTACTTCATTAAATCTACATTCTCCATCAACATCATCACCTTCAATAGAACTTGAAGTTCTTACATTTGGTTGATCACAGTTTTGAAATCCACCATTTTGTAGTCCAAAAACTTGCCAACTGTGAACTTCTTTGTTCCAGTGTCCTCGGTCTTATACTTCTTTTCTAATGAATCCCATAAATCTTTAGCAGAGTCCTTCGAACTATACGCTCCATAAAGTGTATTGTCCAATTCATTAAGAATGTAGTTCTTGTATAGAAAATCAGAATGTTTCCATGCATCCAAGGCGATAATCGATTCACGATTATTCTCTCCTTGTATGGCTGGTGGAGTCTCCTTTAGAAACTTTGCCAAATTGAGTGTAGTAAGATAGAACAATATCTCTTGTTTCCATCTCGTGAAATCTACGCCTCTAAAATTTTCCGGCTTTTCCCCATGTGGTACCGCAGTATTTTGTAATGGTATTGCCATAGGATGAACCACATTGTTCATACCATGTTGACTCGAGGTAACCTCTACGGTACTCATTTTTGTTACTTAAACAGAAGATTAATGTAGCAACAATAAAAGGGGAAAGAATAGTACACGAAGACTATTCCAAAAATGACAAATACGGGTTTGAAAACAACAAACAACCACAGATGTGATATTGTCTTAAGATTGTTGTTTCGGGTGTATATGATAGCGAGAAAAATGTTGTTTATGTAATCAAACAAACAAAGTTTAAATCGCATGAGCGTGATATATATATATACTTTTTCCTTAAGTCAATATTGCCCCGCTACGATGCTCATGGTTGTCGGCACTTGTCTCCCAAGATACAACGAATTCAATTCTTGTAGTAGCAGCACTTCAAATTACAAGACAACGGCGAACGTGACGTAATTCCCTCTCTACATGGAAAATTGTTTTGGAATGAATTTGAGAGAGTTTTTACAAGATATTTTATGAATGTACAGTGCAAATATGATATGGAACGCAAAAGGGACGTCCAAGTGTTTCTATATATAGAGGATGATGGTTATGAATGAAATGTCGTGCCCCAAACTCGACAACACTTGCCAAAGGTCACACCATTTACTGTCGCTAGCTTATCTCCATCGCCTCGCTCGAGCGATAGAAACAGTGATTTTTTCGCTAGCTTATCGTTGGCCTGTAGCTCGAGCGATAGTCTAGCCATAAGCTAACAACAACCTTAGTCAATTTTTCAGACAGCTTCTTCTATTTTCTTCTCAACTTTGGACCGCAATTTCTCATCCGAAATTGATTTTGAGATTCGAAATATACCACGACGATCTACTCGATAAGTAGTACAAATTGGTCTATTTACATTTATAATTTGACCATCGGATCAAGTCTGAATATTTGGTCAAAGTTGACACGAAAATCATTTTTGCCAAGTTTTTGGTTTTGATACTTAACCAAATTTTCAATCTTCTAAACCAATTTCCAACAATGACTCTATGAAATCTCCATTGAGCTTAAAGTTTTAATAATGCGTTTTCAACCACTTCTATTATTAAGACATCGATTCCATCATCATGTTGTAGGAGCACTGAAATATTCAGAAGAAGTCATTACGGGAAGGGTGAAAACTGAAAAAATGTTCAAGGTAATGTCTTCCAGTTCTACATTTTCTCTGTTCTAGGTTACTAACATCCATGGCAAGCTACAATGCCTCTGCATTTGTGCAATTGTCAGTTACTAGATTATTAATTATAATATCATAAAATAATTTGTCTCTGATTATATATGGCTAAATACAAACTATTCAACACTCTCTGTCTCCAAGTGAAATAATATACCCGAGACAAGAAAAATAGAAATGTTACAGTCAGTGTTATGTACCGTCGTGTCACCTGAATGCCATTACGGACAGCAGCTCGCTCAAAATAGAGCCAACTTTGTGCAGGAAACTAACGCAATTGGTCCTCTTTTTAGGCAGAAATACATGAATGCGGAACTCATTTCATTTTCTGATGGGAAAGAAACAGTTGCTAAAGCAGCTAATTTTCTTTTTGAGAAGCACTATTCAAGTTCCAAAGCAGAGAAGCTGAATCTGATAGAATCTGACATGGCTAAAGCTCTTACATATATAGGTTTGTTGTTTTCCATGTTCCCCATTTCACATCTATAGGTTTGTTGTTTTCCATGTTTCCCAACTCTGTATTTGTTTTTCTCCTCATTCTCTGAAAAGAGATAAACTACAGCTAGCAGTTCTATTGGTTTAACAAACTCACACACATATTTTTTGAATTTTGGTGATTTTAGGATGTCGAGGAACAGAACCCGATCTCCTGGTGATTTATCGGCCTACCCGATGTCAGCTAGGCTTCCCAGCTTGGAGAATGAGTCATACTGAGATTGTGTGAGTACTAGATGTAATACTTAAGCAACATCTTTGCTACTTCTTTCTTTTACACGGAGAAGGGGAATTTGGACTTGCTAAGTAAACATTTTTACATGAGAAACAACTTATTACAATTTCCTCCAGTTACAGTATCAACATCGGAGCAAACTTATGCTCAAGAAATGATAATATAAATCACTTAAATAGAAAGCAAGTTTGTTTCCAGCTAGAATATTAATCAAGTCTGTTTATATTCTCTGACAAATTACATAACTTAACTTTGAGCATGCTACTTCTCAGCTTTAACCTTGGGATAAGAAGCACCCATTCCCAACCTAAAAATAGAACATAATTATCTGCATGTAGACTATGTCTCCCTTGCTGTTGCCTTAGTAAATGGCAACTCCTTTCTTATCTGACTTATATTCTCGTGTGTTTTACAGTTCAATCTAGACCAACGGATTTTCGGTTGATCATTTCATTTATTCAATTTGGGAGCAAGTAACAAATTTGGACACTGAACTATGGATTTTACTTTTTTGTATCAGGCATATGCGATTACCGAAGTCTATGAATTTTGGTTCCCTTGTAAAGGTGATTTATGGGTTTACAATGGTGCACCAAAACTATGGTATGTCTATCCTCCTAATGAATGACACCGAATACCGATTGTGTTAATTGTCTCAGAACGAGTTATTTTGTCTTCTCGAAATATCACAAGTACCCCCTAGTCCCTGGCCATCGCAAGGAAAACTATGTTGAGTTTAAAGGCCAAACGAAAATG